CACTTTTTTATTGATTGGACGTTCTTTTATTGAACATACTCGAAAAGTACTCATATTTTGGAAAAATTGCAAATGACGACATTTAATGATCTACATTTCTAGAATAGATGTTGAAAGCCAACCCCCATCTCTCTCTATTGCAGTATGCTTCTTGTTTTTCAATTGGAGTCGGGGGAAGGTAGGTCCCACCCTCTTTGCATAAATCCGTACCAAATATCTTAGAATATCTCTTAAAAACAAACGCTCTGATGGAAATGCTAAACATTCGCGTTCTACAAACTACCATATAGGTGCAGAAAGAAGCCAGAAGTGTACATAGAAAATAAGACGTCTCATTGTACTACTATTTTTTTCCCTTTGTCTGACAAAAGTTATAGCATGTGCGATAGTACAATATTGCTCTGACCCCTTTAATTTTACAAAATATAAGGAATTCGGCAAAAACGGAATATGTATTTTTAAGCGTACTTTTTTTCGTGAAAAATATTATGAAAACTTTTCGCATCGTTTGTGATATAATTATTGTTTAAAAATCTCATAAGTTAAACAGTAATTTACACGAAAATTTCTCAGTTTTAAATGAATATATATGATCTTATTTAAATATTATTTAATGACAGATTTAATAAAGAGATATTATCTATCTTCACTATTATTTATGCAAAACTTGATAGTTTTGCAATTTTGAGAATTAAGTTTGCGTCAATTTCTAAGTAACCTTTGCTCTATGCTACAAATAAAATAAAACAAAAAAGATGTGACAATTTAAAAAAAATTCAAAATGTTATGGCTTTATGAGAAGTACTTCGAAAAATCGAAATATCCCTTTCAAACTGGCAGGGCCTTTAGTTTGGCCAAATCGATCGGGGATTATCAATTTTGGAGGAAGACGATACAGGCACTAGCGTTGGCCACAGATTGACGGACATCGGGACAGTTTAGCTCTAAATCAGTTTTTCAGTATCAAGGATCCTCAAAGCATGGATTATGACAACGCAACGTGCCAGAAAAAGTAATTTAATGAAAAACAATAAAACATACACTTTTTGATATGAAGGCTCACAAGATTCTATGGCAAAAATCTTCACTTTCCGCTGCAGAATAATAATACAATATATTTAATACCCAAGTACGTAGTATTGAGTTGGATTGAATTAATGCCTGATATTACGTGGTGAGACTCGGGCCATCAGGCTCGCTCTTCCGCCTGACAACGTAAATTTCGCTACGCTCCTTTCACCAACAAGCGGAGAAAGGAGGTATTTGTTGGGCGACGAAACAAGGGATTTGAATTCAGCTCAGAGGCTTCATTTCGGCTTGAGGATCTTTTACATGCAGTAAATCTACTAACATGAGAGAGCCGGCTTTACTTTCCCTCCGAACAAAGACGTACGCAGGAATTTTCGCTCTTAAAAATCCTAAACTAACGGCGTTTATCGGGTTTGAAGTAGTAGATGAAATAATGAAAGGAATGATTTTGTTTTTCCATTAGAGTAACAGGTACCATTAGTGTAGCCATTAGGGTAACACCTTTTCGACCAAATGTGCTGTGAATCCAAAGCCAATCGTTTGCCATATTTATAACTGCCTTCATTGTTTTACAGTTCAAACTCGAAAGAAAAATTACGAATTATAGAAATTTTTGATTTACTGAGGTAATATCTGCCATATTTTATACTATTGGGCTTCAGTTCTACCAAGTAGTAGTATTATAACGAATTTTTTGTGGGTCAATGGAGTTATCTTGAAAGTATCTGGAACGTATTATTCTTTCATTTGTTTGAAATATAAAATGTTGTTTAGTAATACAAAATTATTTATTATTTTCATATCAGCACAGGGTAGCACATGAGCAATGAGATCTCGTTTCCCTAGATTTGAGAAGTTGGGGGGGGGGAGCGTTTTTTTATGGGGCCGTTTATTATATAGAAGATTTGATATACTTCCAAATCTGTACTTTTCGGTGGCCAATGAGTTTTATTACCCTGAAGTCAAACTTCTTGAATAACAAATGCTCTAAACAACGATCGCTGATATCTGTTATTTATAATTCAACTCACGACGAATTCATGACACTGGAGCTAGGGTAAACGTCCGCGTAGTGCACATTCGAGCGTGAAAGAGAAGCTAATAGTATCTAGAACGCGGTACTGTGCCGTAAACACAAAGCAATGCGTTGGAAGCCTGACGTGAACAGGTTCGTATTCACTTATCTCGCCTATCACTTGAGGCTTTCCGTGCCATTTGAACACCCCCTTTGGGCCCTGTTCCCGCGCCCGTTCTCGCTTGTCCATCTCGTGCTCGGACAATCGCCAGCAGTGCCGAGTGATTCTGTCCGCTCCGCTCCGCTCCTGGGCCCGGGCGGGTGGCAACCGCTCTCCCGACCCGTGGAGGGGAGGAGCGGCGCGGCGCGACGCGGCGCGGCGCACCGGCAAAGGCGCTTACGCTCATCCGATTAGGCGCAGGTGCGCCCCGGGCGGGACTCGAGCGTGGGCCGCCGCCCCCGCGCCCTCTAACGAGCGACCTGCCCGTCGCGCCACTTTGCAGCCGCCCTTGCACCGCCCTCGCTGCCGAACTCGCCCCCGCCACCATCGCTCCGTCTGTCGGCGAGGGTGTGGCACTACTGCGCCACACGCCGCTCGCCCCGTCTCTCTGCCTACTGCGGCACGCCCCTCTCCGCCTCCCTTCGCCTCTCCCCGCGTCGCTGCTCCGCCTCGCTCGCCGCTCGCCACCTTGCCCGCCTTGCGCTCGCGCACCTCGCCCGACCTGCCTCACTCGTCCACGCTCGCCACATCGCCACTCACTCACTCGCCCACTCGCGACCTCGCCCCATCGCCACTCGACGCACTCGCCACCTCCCCATCGCCCCACTCGCCACTCGCCCGCCCCGCTCGCCGCCTCGCCCGGCTCGGCTCCCTTCGCCACCTGCCGCCTGCCCTCCTCTCGTCTGCACGCTTTCTCGGACTCGCAACGCCCCGGTCCGCCTTGCCCCACAACACTTCCCCACCCTAGTAGCCTACCTGCTCACGTTCACACTCGCCCCTCTTCCATTTCATCCATAGCCATCGTTACCTCGTCTCTCCATCCCTCTTTCCTCTTATCACTCATCCGCCTAACGATTAAGCGCATATGTGTTATGAATACTGTCACTCGCGTGCCCAAAACGTGAAGAAAATATAAATCCGGCCGGATTCTTTAGTGTCACTTTTAACTAGAGAATTGCGACCAATGTAATCCATTCGGCGCCAAGCAGTTCAGTAACACGTGTTACGTAATCCGAATGAGTATGCACTCCTTTGTCTTCTGCGGTTCAATGAAACCTCTCAAAGATCACCCCTATTTAAACGACCTCTCAATCTCGCCGATATTTTATTGTGCGCACCTTAACCCCAGTTGGTGTATGTAAATTTTACCCCTGTTAATATCACCCCTCAACCAGAACACCGCCTTAAAAGCGATGTTCTTAATTGATTCCATTACAGTAAAGATTGGCGACATTGTAAACGGTATTCAGACTAAATGCTCTGGAACTGAACTTTTAATTATCGCTTTTGGGTGAGGGGAGTTGGGGAATCATTAAACACTACACATAATTTGCTGATATAACCTCACCTGCAAGTTCCATTTTTAGTTTCATTTCTTCTAAAGTGGCGACGGTTATGAAAGAGACCTTACGTTTACCTCTGAATTAATAAATCCTTCGTTACCTTACCTTCCTTGTAAGAACTTCTGGTACACAGGATACTAATTCCGGAAGTCACGGTTATCTAACTTGGCCCTTTTTCACGCGTGTGGGTTACATCCGGAATTCACCCCAATAAACGCTTGTAATTATAATAGAGTGAAGAAATGCAAGAAGCGTCCATCTTCCAAGATTTCTTGGACACCCGAAAAGCATGATGTGTGTACACAAGAAGATGAAGAGGTTTTTACCTGTAGACAACTACTGAGTATGTTGAAAATAGTTTTTACGTCTATTATAACAAAGAGAAGAATATTTTAATATTTTTAAATGCATTTAATAATATAGTAGTTTTGAAGCCGGTCAGATGGCCACGATTGATAGGGCAATAGTGCCGTAGCGGTCTCTTTCCAGAAGACCTTGGGTTCCACCTTGGGCAAGGTTGTATTTGTGAATGTCTTTATGGGTATGCCATGATTTCCCCCCACACTATCATCATTAAGGGTCGGAGTTTTAAGAAATGTCATTTTCTTTCTTTTCACTTTAGAAAATTCTCCGATCAATTCCAGGTGAATTCGGGAGCAACTCCCTAACAAACAGGTTAAGGATCACCTGAAATTCTTCATACTTATCTCTCCCTTTCCTGGTATACATGAGCACAAAAGCAAGTGAGAGCGCAGGCTTCCGCCGCCGGAGTCGTATTTAATTGACTGTCCGGGTGACGCCGCGTCCACGGCAAAGGTGCTGAGACCTCTGCCGTGGACTCAACGTCACCCGGATAGACAATTAAATACACAAGCAAGTGCCTCAATGGACGATATACCTGTCCGGAAGAAGCCCGCTGGATTGCGACCATTGTCTTCTCCGGGGAAATAATATTGACTGTACTCACGAAACTGATGCCCAAAGGGCAATGCCGAAACGCTTCTCCCTCCCTCCCCTGGTGCCCGCAAAGCAGACGTGTGTGACGACGCGGCGCCTATTTGGGCTATCCCTGAGCGTCGCCGCGCGGTTATCAACCCGGACGCTCCGCTCCCCCCCCCCTCTCGCCCGCAGCCAACAGCCGACGAGCGCTGACTCGTCTCCCATTGTTGCGTCCCGCGACGAGGGACCTCCAATGGAGACATTAACCTTCGGCACCCTCGAGAAGGTCATTCGGCGCCGAGGTCGCGGGGCGGCGCCGCGAGTGCAACTGTGAATCTCCCCGATCGGCCGGCGCGTGGGGCAAGGTCAGCAGCGTGAGCGCGAGGGGAGAGCAGATAAGGCCGCGAGGAACGTAAAGCTGGCCAGTGGGCCTGCTGCCTGCGCCCGCGCCGCCATGCGATCAACCGCTTTTGTTGTTGTGTGTGCGCTGGGACTGATAGTGGCTGCTTCGGTGGCCTCGCCCTCCCCAATCTACGACATCCAGCTGGATTGGAAGAACGCGTTGCTACCGTGCACGTGTGTTAATGGGACAGTGGACTGCTCGTACCGTAGGAAGACCAGCATTGAAACGGAAGATGTTTGTGATGTCGCTCCTACTGCGTTAAATCTTTATAATAATTTGTTCGTTAGTTTTCCGGACGGATTTACGTCGGTTGTGATAGTCAATGCGTCAAGGAATCGACTCGGCACGTTGCCTCAAGCTTCGCGGTTGAATCCGCTGCTTACGGTATTGGATTTGTCTCGCAATGTGATTTCAGACGCCACCAATGAACTGCGAGAGCTATCGTCTTTGCAGACGCTCATCCTAAGGGGCAATAGACTCTCTCACTTACGGTTTCTGCCTGAAGTGTGCGATTTAAAACGCTTGGATGTATCTTACAACTCGCTCGTTGGGTTAGAGGGTCCATTAAGTCAGTGTACTCAATTAAAAGAATTGAATTTGATAAATAATGAATTGACGTCGCTCACCAATGGCATTTTCGATCGAATGAGTCAGTTAGAGGTTTTGCGTTTGGATGACAACCCAATAGGCAATTCTTTGTCGTCGCAAATTTTTGACAGTCTCGGCAATCTCAAAAGGCTTGAACTTTACAATAATGATTTTACAAGTATTCCACGTGGTATATTCAAGTCGTTATCTAAATTGGAAACATTGGATATTGGATTAAATGATTTGTCGTCACTTTCAGGAGACATATTTTCATCTCTCGGAAACCTCAAATCCTTAGGAATGGTACGCGCTAACATGCAAACATTCCCAACGGGAATCTTTTCTCCTATCCCACAACTGGAGAACTTATATTTGTCTGTAAATTTCTTTTCGACATTACCATCTGATGCCTTTATTCATTTGAACAACCTCAAAACGCTGACTCTGGACTTTTTAAACGCCACAACACTTCCTGAAAACTTCTTTACAAATTTAACAGAACTGCAGGTTTTGTCGCTTTATGGAAATCACCTAACATCTCTTCCGGACGATCTTCTGTCTGGGTTGAACAAACTAGAGAAGGTAGACGTATCTGCGAATAGATGGACTGAGCTTCCCTTACAGCAATTGAGGAATGTGAAGCAGCTGTCGCTGGGTTATCTTGGAATTAATTCTCTCGAACCACGGATGTTTGTGAGCACCCCACGTGTGAATATGCTTTTTCTGTATAGTAATAACATTTCTTATGTAGCAGAAAATGCATTCGACGGAATTGCTTTAGAAGTGTTGTCAATTGATAACAATGCAATAAGAGAATTGCCACAGAATGTCTTCCAGACTCAAGTGCATTTGAAATTCATCGATTTATCTCGCAATTTTCTCGTCACCCTTCCGGAGGGAATTTTTTCCGGTATGCACAATCTCTTAGTTCTTGAAGTGGGGAGTAACAAGATACAGGCGCTGCCTGACCAGGTTTTCCAGCCGCTGACTTCGCTACAGGTCTTGGACCTGTCGCGCAACGAGCTTACTGCGCTGAGTGACGACTTGTTCACTAACCTCCGCTCGCTGCGTAAACTCGTCCTGGACAGGAACCACCTGACGGTGTTGCCAAGTGTCTGGCACCCTCACGCCGCGCAGCGACACGTGTCGTTGAGAAGCAACGCTATCTCGCAGCCGGACCAGGGGACGCTGCGACTCTGGTTGAGTGGAGAAGGTCAGCTCGTCTTGGACCTTTCGGACAACGCCGTCAGCCCCTCGGCCGTACGCTGGCTTCTTGGCGAGCCGGAGGTGAGACGCTCACACTGAGATAAATACGAGACGCAGAAATTAAGTTTTCCTACGTCGACAACAAAAAGAAAACATACTATCCTGGTAAAACCTGTTCTAGCAGTTACAGCACATGCTGCGCCATTTTCCCACATATTCACCACCAGAATTGAGATATTTTGATACGTGGTATCAACATTTGTATCTGGTCGTCATAGCTGTCTCCGCATGTAATGAGCAGAGTTGCAGTGCATGTCTCCCACCAACAAGAATCCGACTCTTTAATACGCATCATTCTAACGAAACAAACATACCACAAAAAGCGGAAAGGATAGAAATATCTGGGGGGATGAGATCCGGATTATACGGTGGATGATTCTCGCAGCAGAACTTGCTGCAGAAGATCTGTAGTGAACCGAACGGTAAGTGGCCGATCGTACGATCATCCACCCTCAACGATTTGTATACTTCCTACAACTTCTTTGGTACCGGGATAAGAATGTTGACCCCATTTTATGACAAATGTTTCAATTCTGTTGGTGATTATGAGGGAAAATAGTGCAGCATGTGCTTAATCTGCTATAATATAGTTTTTCCATAAATATGTTTCTTCTTTGTATTGACGACTTGGGGAAACTTACTTCCTTTATGCAATTTGCACTTGTACAGCCAACAAATTTCTGTATGTTTTATAGAGACAGTTATTTAATAAAAAAAGTCCAATCTCGTATTCACCTTGTTGTAGCTAAGGGTACGTTTCCGGTGCATAAAATGATGACAGTAATACACGTTTTACATTGATTAATGTATGATTACTCATCAGGGTGCAGAAGTTTATGAAATTAAGTATTTTAAAGTGAATCCGGTTAAGAGTAACGACCCAATGTCCATATTTTATATCCATTAGTGTTTGATTTATATTTATATTAATTTATAAATTTTATTGTTAAGACTAAAGACATCAATCTTAATTATCAATAATATGCTGCTACAGTACCACTTAATTACCCAGAGGTGATAAATTCGTTTTATTTAGTTCCCTGGGAGCTCCGAGTAGGGCCGTCGGAAACAATTGGTTCTTCCGTAACTAAATGTATTTTTCTTTTGTACATTACTACATCAAATCTAGTAATTCTTATAGAAAATTCTAATTCACATTATTAATTAGAGAAGTAACATTTGTTCAATGAAACGTTCTTGATTTTTTGAATTAATAGATAATTTTTAACAGTAAAGAATTTTCTTATATATAAATCATTCCTATCCTCAAATGGTACAAATTCTGAAACAGAAGTAGATTGCAAATTTAATTCTAATTTTTCTTTCATTTCAGTTTTAACCTAGTGTATTGAACGTGGTTTTCCATCTGGTTTTTATTATTACACAGATAGAAATGCACATGCTTCAATTGAATGAATTAGTTCACTCTTAACTCATATTCTTTTTACTTCTGAAATGTATACAATACATTAATATACCTATTGTTTTCCAGTTTTGCTTTTATCAAAGAAATAGTCTTAGACGATGCTCTTATATTTGTATTAGTGAAAATCTACGCTAAGGCGGAGTCATCCTTAGTCAAACTTATAATCTCACCATTTGCGTCTGTGCGTAATACGTGTATCTTTCAATATTTATCGTAATATATTTTCATAAGACTATATCGATTAGAAATTATTTTCCTTTGAATGGAAAAGTTCATAATCTATCGTTGCTACAACTCTTTTGTTTCGATTGTCCTTAACAGACGTCGAACTTCCTTTACGGATAACGGCCATGAAGTGTGTTTCCGTTCCTTAAAATAAGCATTGCACCATGAAAAAGTGTTTTTTTTACTGGGTTAAGTGAATTTTGCGAGAAGCCTACCTCGGCAGAAACACACGTGTAAAACCCTTTTGTTTTCAAATTCTTTGGACTTCAACCCGTCAAGCCTTCGAGTCCGGTAGCCTTCGAGCCCGGTAGCCTTCGAGTCCGGTAGCCTTGAAAGCCTTAATCTGTGAACCCACCTAGTCCCCGAATCTTAACCCTCCCCCGGCGCCAGCGAAAGGTCACGAGCGTTGTGGAGTGGGGGCGGGCGGACAGCGACGAGCGACGAGCGCACGTGTTGCAGATGCGCGTGGGGGCGGACGCGCTGTCGCCCTGCGACTGCGGCCTCGTGCGACGCCGGCGCGCGCTGCTGCGTCTCTGCGTCAACGCCTCCTGCCCCGGCACGCAGCAGCAGCAGCAGTCAACGGGGCCCGGCTGGGTGGACGCCATTCGCAGTGCCCGCGACTAGGCTCTGCGCTCGGCGAAACTTACTGCCAACGCAAGAAGCTCCATTTATTTGGAGGATTTTTGGAACCTGGGATCCATCATATCCTATATTTAGGTTCCCCAGACTTCAAATTCTCTCACATTCGAATGCCCCCAACCCTCAGTTCACCGCACACAGAATTTCTAAATTTCTGTATTCGCCAAACTCCGAAATCCACATACACTGGATTCCCCTAACCCTCGATTCCCAATGTCTTAATATATTTATTTTCGTTCTACCTGTGGTCTTTCTAAGTTTTCTGGTTTACATGCTGACAATTTTGGATTTCGCCATTCCGTTGACAAATTAAGGTTACATTACTGTGTCTCGTTTAATTAGTTTCGATGAAGATGTGGGATTTTAATTTTAATTTAAATTTTTGGGAATAGACTGGTAAGATGTGAACTGTCGAGCAATGGGAAGAAAAAAAGGAATGATTCTACACGGAAGTATTAATTTAGGCAGGTTTAAGCATATTTCTGGGAATTTTGATTTGTTTCGAATTGGGATGTTTGATGTTCCTCGTAGATGGAATTTACGAGCGGAATGAGGGGAGGAAAGAACTGAAATTATTTGCTACATTTTTATATGTACTGAAACGGATCGACTTCAAGTTCTCTGTGAATTTGATGGTTAGGTTTGAAATAAATCTTGAATTGACTCGCTCGGATCTTTATTTTCGACTATTTGCATTTTTGTGTAGTTGTAAGTGCTGCGTTTCCCTATATCACCAAGCGTAACGTAGTTTTAGTAGAAAAATGTATTTGTATGCAGGAACGTTGCATTTGGTATTATTTGTTAATTGTTGGTTTATGAGTTGGTAAAGTTTTAAAATTTTGGCGTAGGATTTGTGTATTACTGGGTGATTATGGGTTTTTAAGTCAAAGTTTCTTGTGTATCAATACTCCGAGACAATTTATTTGTTCGCTGTTTCAAGTTATTTTATTGGTCACTATTTTTATACTAACAGGATTTTGCGTTGTGTTATAGAGTGAATATTTTGGCCTGGCATTTTTGAGGATTGATTGGGGTTCTCCATTGTTTACTATCTCCCCCCCCCACATTTTCCCGTGGGTCATAATTGCTTCTATTCGTACAATTCATACAAATCGAGGCGCGACGGGTAGGGGGGTGCCGGGGAGTGGGGGATCAGGGTCCGGGGAGTGGGTGGACGAAGCGTAAATTAATACCTGAACAACGCCCATCGTCCAACGTTCTTCAGCTGGTTCATGAATAATGAGGAGAGTACTAAAGCTGGATAGTTCTATCTGCACAGTGTTAGCTGAAGAACTTTCTAGCTAGCCACGTATTTTGCGAGAGGCAAACGCGTGTAATGGACGGCATAGGGATTCAAAAACCGTCATCCATCCAAAAATCTCAAAAATAAGTCATGAAAAATTTAGTGCCAGAATCCTAAATAAAAAAGAAGAAAGGTTTTGTTATTTTTCTGGGCCTTTAATACGGAGCAGAGAACATCCAAAATACAACAAAAATGCGCGCTAACGATCTCTCGCCTTAAGTCAACACCGCAGCAACTAGCCCTTTTACTTGTGTATCGTACTTGTGTACAAGAACTACAAATAAGGGGCAAAGAAAGGTTGATTATTCACTGCAACCGGTTATTGATGATAACAATATATTAATATTATTTATTGTTATCTTATTTCTTTACTTCTGCCTTTGTTTCATTGCCCAAAGTATTACGTATTAAAAAACACTAAAAATGCCAACATAAATTGAGAAAATTTAAGTGTGGGAGTGACACGTGGATGTTTAAAAGTAATGTTTCTTGAGATTTTATTTCATTCTGCTTAAAATATAGTATCATCCTTTTTATTCCCTGCTTAAAAGGTATCAGCTAGGTTTCTTTGTAATATTTTTCTAGGAGTCTGTGTTTTAAACGTATCTCTTTTGATATGTCCTGAGAACGTTAACAGAAGTGTCCAGTAGTATATGTCAGCAAAGCAAAATCGATAATTTCGACGTGTTAAGGGAAATGTAATATATCTGTAAATTAAATTTTGTAGTGTGTAATTGTTGGTTGGAATTGAAATATTTTTTTCAGAGATGTATCTTCCATCATAGGCATTATTGATTAAAACAATTGTAATAAGAATTACCAAGACACATTACTGTGATAATTAATAGATTTGATGAGTGATAATAATATACATTATATAGTTATAAAAAAAGGAACATTGAAAACGAGTCTGTAAATTAATGTATGTTTTACTGAGTTGTTAAAACGTTCTTCAAAAATTAAAGCTACGAGTAGACTTCAAATTTAGCTAAAAACGTTTTATGAACACACCTAAATATTAATAATATAATAAATATTACAAGATGTGATATCTCTTTTATTTTCGAAAATTTTATTTTGTTTAAATTAAGAAGTGAATAATTTTAAATGAAATAAAACAAGACAATGTATTATGAAAAAACTATTCGATTTTTTTAAAATCCTGTTTTGAAGACAGCTCCATTTTGAAGAAACGTCATTTACTAAGTTTAAATTAAGTTTATAGTTAATATTCGTAAAATATATTAATTTAAATTCATCGTTTCCTGCAAAAAGTATCGATAAAACACACGTGTAAATTGTTCGTGAATTTACACGACCTTCTACCAGTAGCCCAGGTAGTAGTAATTGCTGAGGTGGAAGATTTCAGATAATTAAAATTGACAGAACATTCATGTTCGCCAATAGACAATTTCCTCCTCTTTTCGCGTAAGGTTAGCAACTCAATCTGCTCTACTAAGAGTGTTCTAAAGACACCATTTATTATGAAAAGTAAAATGTTTTTGTCTACTTGCCTAAGAAATGATCATTCAAAAGTGAAGCTAAAGCTGGCATTCAGCTAAACGCATTGCATTGAAAATACTGCTCAAAAGGTGTCCAATCAAACATACTGAATTTTCTGCACATTAAGAACCATCATCAATTAATCTTGATATTTGTATGGAACAACCGTATGATTGTTTTTTTAATTCAGAGAAAGAATTATAAATATTGCCTAATTGGTTACCAAATTATGCGCAAACTTATCCATACCTTCCTTAATACATCAAAATAATTATTCGAGAATCGTATTCTGTACTAGTTGAAAAATAGTGTTGAAATACTTTGTGAAAGTCTCCAATTGATTAAATGCAATGATACTGTCGAAATATTAAAGTTAATATAATGGCATTCCTTTCAATGAATTCCATACCTCATTCTCAAATGATTCATTATTTTCAATGACCTTTACACAGTGTTCGTCCTCTTTACCTTTGATGTAGCTTCATGTATTTCTTTAACACAACCAAGGCTATTAACATTTCAGTCTTTATGATACTATTGTTCCCATAAAGCAGCCGTGATTCTATAGAAGTTCTGCGTAATAAATGGAGAGACACTCTGAGTAAGTGACCTTCAAGAGCAATTATTTATAACAGAACCCACAGAGACCATAATTTCTCTTATTTGTAAGTTCCTAATTGAAAGGTTTTCATGTTGGATATTTTACATTGGAATTGGTGCATTTATCTTAAGCTCTTCATTAATTATTTTTATTTTTAGCGATCATGGGAAGTGCTTCTATTTATTTGTAGTAATGTTCATCTCAAAGTATTATCTATCAATGTATTTTGCGTGTTCTATTTGTAGAACGACCATTGAAAATCACAAATACAGATTAGCTTTACTCTCCATGGACTCGTTTATTATTTTAAGATTATCTGAATATATTATGGACTTATTAACGAACAGTACATACAAATACGTATGAATGTCGTAGTCAAACCCCTTAGCTTAGAATAAAAGGCATCTGATTGTAAATAAACAAGTGGGTATAAATTATGCAAATACAGAATATTGGATTATATGTTAAAATTCTGCATACTAGTAAACATCCATTTTTCCATCATCTTTCGCTAACGAAGCTTCCCGCTCCAGTCAAAGCACATGCATACCACATGACAACGATCATTGCACCCAGTCATGTATGGTATTCGGCAAGTAATATTTATTTTCCCATATCCAGAGTCTAGAGAAAATATCTCGTAGTGCTTTCCGCTACCCCCTCTCTTTCTCTCGCTCTCTTCAAAATGCAGCAATGTGGTCCCAATTTACTCCTTAACCACACAGAATAAAATGTGATTGAACATAAATATACCAATAGTCATATATTATGAAAGTACAAAAATATCCAATTTTACTCAGTTTCAAATATCTTCAACCCCAGTAAATACGTTTCCCCATCTTTCATGTTCCCGTCATCTTGTCTTCACAATCCCACTGGTGGGGCAGCACATGCATAAGTCATGACGTTATCGCTGCACTGAGTCACGTATGGCGGTCGGCGATTACTCCGCCGTATCCAGTGCCTGCTGTGGCTCGCGCTCTGTGCTCCGCGGCGCGGCAGCTCCACGAAAACGCCGGGAGGCGGCAGTGTTTTGTCCCATGATCCCCCGCGGCGCGGGCGCCGCCATTGTGCCTGCGAGTCGATCGCCCTAATCCGAAGGCGGGATCGCGGATATGGAATAATTATTCAAATTCCTCGCTCCTCTTTCTCTCTCTCTCTCTCTCTCTCTCTCTCTCTCTCTCTCTCTCTCTCTCCCTCCTATCTCTTCCCCTCTCTCCCTCCCCTCTCTTCCCCTCTCTCTCTCTTTCTCTTCGAGGCGCGAGTTCCCTGCTTCGCTGGGGCACGACCCGTTACCACCGCCGCCCACGGAGCTGTCAAGGTGCGCGCTCCGGAAACGCATGAGCAGGAGGCGCAGGTTCCTGCTGGCGCCGCGGGAGGCGCTGGCGGTGACGTTTATTACTCCCCTCCCAAGGAGAAGTGATTGTTGCGAGAAAGTTTGGCCCGATTGAGCAAGTGTCTTAGGAAAATGAATGACATTACTTGCGTGTTCTTTACTGCGCCCCGTATAAGGCGGTTTAAATAACACATTAGGTGATAAGTTGTTTTCTTTTTCAAAATTACGGATTCAGCGAGAGACTGATACTGCGATGTTTTCAATTATAATGTGTAATGGTAGTGATTTTAACGTGAATTGGAGCTTATTTACGGAGTTTTTTTCTCTCAGCTTAATAACATTAAACCAAACGTTTCTCTGTAGCTGATAAACCAAATTACCACGAACGCAAATGAAACAATGTCGAAAACGCGTGAGAAAAACAATTAATTCATGTAAAAACTTGAAATTATTAAACATTTTGTGTTCGATTAATTGCTAAATGAAGTCAGTAAGAAAGTTGTTCATCTTTTGGATAAGGAAAAAAAGGTCAACATTTATTAAGGTGGCCAGTGATAATGCCATACATTACTTTCCTCATACTGTTTCTTCAATTATGAAATTAAAGAGACAATGTCTATAAATTCCTTCTTCTTGTCCAAATGCTTTATCGGCAAGCATAATTGTGGTATTTCTTGAATTATTCGCCTTTACCTTCATCATCTTTTCCGAACCTCAGAAGCTGATTCCAAATAACGAACGAGTCCCAAAAACATGACCCGACCGCCTCGGTGAGTCAGGGAACACATTTCCCCGTCATCCGCAGAACGCAGACCCATTCGCCGACGAATATGTAAAATTCGTCGGATATTAGTTACGCTTTCTTTTATTCCGACCGCGCGCTCTGCAAAGAAATGATTTATATCACGCAAACCCAGTTCGGTACATCCATACGAGCATCGCTTTTTCATTACCCCGGCTCCGCCCCCGCCGCCCCCTGCCGCCCCTGCCGCCCCCGCGCCCGCCCCCGCCGCCCCCGCCCCCCCGCCCCCCCGCCGCCCACGCCGGCCCCCGCCCCGCCCCGCCGCCCGCCCCGCCGCCCCCGCCCGCCCCGCCGCCCCCGCCCCCCCGCCCCCGCCGCCCCCGCCCGCCCTCCGCCGGCCCCGCGCCGCCCCCGCCGCCCCGCCGCCCACCCCGCCCCCGCCCACCGCCGGCGCCCCCGCCCGCCCCCGCCGCCCCCCCGCCCACCCCGCCCCCGCCGCCCCGCCGCCCCCGCCACGCCCCGCCCCGCCGACCCGCCGCCCCCGCCCCCCCGCCGCCCCGCCGCCCCGCGGGCCACCCGCGGGCCCCCGCCGCCCCGCCGTTCGGCCCCCGCGCCCCCGCCGGCCCCGCCACTGCGGCCGCGTGGAGTTACATGCCGCTGTGCAGTTTAACAGGCCGCAGTGGATCATTAGGCGAATCTGGGTGGATGAAGATCTCATCGGCTTGAAGTAGTGGAGTGACCGTTGAAGTATTGTGGGTGCGTGTGGATGAAGCAGCGATGCGCGGGGTTAATATAATATTTTTGTGGTGATTCTTCAGTTGATAAGTTCGTTATTCACGCCAAACAAACGAAGTGTCGTTATTACGGAATTTGTGTGTAGGTTGTAGAATGTAGAGTGTTTTTAATGTACGGTTTAAATTAGGAAAACCATTTTCATTTTATTTCATATTCAAAGGCTTTTGTTATTTCCACAAACTCAATTTCAACGAATTATTATTTTAAATAAATTGTGATTAGTCTGATTTCTCAGTTACTATCTGTAAATGTGATAGCGTTTACTGATTGATTGTTGATTGTTAGTGAGCTCTGTGCGACAACGGACAATGCCATCAGTCCCGCAAGTGAAGTGCAGTTTTTTTCTCAGGAGGTGGCGGTTTCTCTGCTGAATGGCGAGATTTATCGCCGACCTACCGTCAGTTTCCTTAACCAAAGTATCTCCCAGCACCGGGGCACCTCCCCGGCCAGGACAAGCCATAAGCTCCTGAGTGGTCTCCCGGCAGGTGTGGTTCTGTAGTGCATGTTGGTATGTGTGTGTGTAAGTAAAGGATAAGAATAGGACAAGGAAGAGAAAGGAAAAATCGCGAGTGGTCTGTGGTCCATTTGTTAGGATACTGCTCCGGCATTCACCTGAGGATACCTGAGAAACCATGGAAAACTACCGATGAGAGCAGCCGGACGCCATAATTCTGCTCCAGACAGCTACTGAATTCATTCTATCTGTGTAGCTAGTGTCAAAAATCATTCCACCGACGGTTCTCGAACCTAGAATCTCCCGGTCAGAGGCACTGCAGTGACATTAGTTGATGTCCTTATTCACCTCTCCCGATGTATATAAAATATAACCAAAAGTTGGAAAAGCAGTATTTCTTTCATCTGAGTCAACGCTACGGGATAACAATATAAAGTTCTTGGATGAGAAGAAAGATTGCACTTCATACGATTGAAACAAATAGAATAATCGATTCTTTGAACGCAGTTCTGTAGTTTTTCCGTAATGATATTGCAGTTTTCGTATCAGAACCTCGTTGGCGTCGATTCATGGGATGATTAAAACGTCGTGATCTACGGTTTAATCTGCGACAGTAGTAGCGGCACAATTGGAATCAGAAGCTTAGCAATGTCCTGAAAAAAAGTGTTACTGATTCGAGGCCAGAGTGAAATGAGGTTTAATTTTGTATGTGTGTACGTGAGTAGTAATATTAAGCCATTACCTGAATGGTCGGTTTCTTTTAAAGTCCTTTCGTTATTCACTTGCAGAGATATTAAATATTGTGCAGGTAAGCTTGAATGACAAACATAACTATTAAATAGAAAATTCACTGTGATAATGGAAGAGAGAGGGGGGGAGGAAGACACACATTTTGCACATGTACATCTTCTATATCTTTCTGATATTAAATATTGGTAAAAAATAGTAGGCATTTGAAATGTTCTTAACAGTACATTACAATATTGCATACCTTCCACATTATATACGGGACGAAATTTGGATTTATACAAAGTTCAGGCGTGAGCAAGGCGCAAAGGCTGGTGTGTGTGTGTGTGTGTGTGTCTGTGTGTGCGTGCGCGCGCGTACATGTGTGCATGCGTGTATGTGCGTTTTGGAGTGCGTAGGTGGATGGATGTAATATGGGTGTATACAGTACGACTCTCATTTTGTGTTAGTGGTGCAGTAGGCAATAATATACCGATCTCTTATCAAAATTGGTGCAACTCTTATCAAAATGTCTTTAAGTATATTAGGAAATTACCAGTAGATAAAAATTCTCCCAAATCGTCTGGAAGGACCCGAAAGAGAAACGATGAATGCGCCATCAATGGACCGAGACCACGTCGAATGAGGATCGGAGGAGAGTGGGAGGGCAAACTCTTGTTCGCTGATTACGATTTGTAGGATTTAGCGAAACGAAAAGTTTCTTCCTGTAATATGAAGTTGAACATCTTAGCTACCTGTTTGTTATTATTCATTGTCAATCCAAATATTCTCTGTATTTAACTCTCTTTTTTACTTCTCTTCTCCTCCTTTCTTGTCGAAATTGGAATATAAATTTGAAACTAATATGAAGATTTTATCTGTGTGATTGCTATATAAAATATTCAAAATTTATTGAAAAAACCTCATTTAAAAAATTATGTTAGCCTGTTTATAAATAACTCACAACGGGTAATAAATTAAAGTGATTTTCTCTTCTGCTCATGCATGAGTAAAGAAGCGACTAAATTGATTTGAGAGTAGAATTTATTCAGCCGATGCCTCAGATTTATTGCACACATCAACGGTTTTCACACGAACGTAATCAACATTTATAATTCACTTGTACATGGTACAAAATTATTTCTCAATGACGCTTTTATAAAAAAGTTGTTCTCGAAAAATATGTTAACTATCCAACTATCAAATGTGTGTGAAACATAACGGTTTGTCAACAGAACTAAAACTAATCTCTTCTCTTACAGATCAATGTTTTTTCTTTAAACTTTCGGTTGTATCAATCGTTCGCAGTGAGTCTGACTTTCTATCATGTAAGGAGCAATCAGTCATCAATTTAAATACAGTGCTGACCATTCATTATCTCCAGCGGTGACCTTATCCCAACATTGATATATCGTTACAGTTTCTAAAACATAGTTTGTGAGACCAATTTTCTTTTGTTTCTTCTTATAATGGCAACAAAATCTAA